AGGCGCCCGCGCGCCCGCGCACCCGCGCACCCGCGCGCCCACGCACCCACCCACCCACGCACCCACGCACGCGTGCGCCCACGCCCGCGCCCACGCACGTGCGCACGCACGCACGCGCGCGCGCGCGAACGTACCCATATACCCACGCACGCACGCGCGCAAGCACGCACCCTCGCACCCACGCGCCCACGCACCCACGCGCCCACGCGCCCGCGCGCACGCGCGCCCACGCCAGCGCCAGGGCCCAAACCCACGCCCACGCACTCACGCACGAACGCGCGCACGCGCGCGCACGCGCGCAAACGCCCGCACACGCACGCGCGCACGACGCGCGCGCGCAGGCATGCACGCACCCACACACCCACGCACCCACGCACCCACGCACGCGCGTTCGCACGCGCACGCACGCGCGCGCACGCGCGCGCACTCACGCACGCCCGCGCGCACGCACCCACGCACCCACGCACCCGCGCATCCACGCACCCACGCACCCACGCACCCACGCGCCCGCGCACCCACGCGCCCACGCACCCACGCACCCACGAACACGCACACGCACGCGCACGCCCACGCCCACGCTCGCACACACGCATCCACACACGCACGCATGCTCGCACGCGCGCGCACGCACGCACGCGCGCACGCACCCGCGCGCGCGCCCGCGCGCGCACTCGCACGCGCGCGCACGCAAGCACGCGCGCGCGGACTTTTCGGTCGTCGCCGTGGAACGCCCGCGCGGCAGGCCGCGCGCGCGCCCAGTAGTCGACGGCGAAAGAAAGGAACGGAGGAAGGGCTGGCCCCTCGCGGGGCAGAAGCAGGGCGGGAGCGCCAGCGGCGCTGGGGCAGTGGGGGGCAGAGGGGAGGCGCTGGCGAGCACCGGGGCAGCAAGGCAAGCGCCGGGCGCCCAGTGGCGGAGGGGCGAGAGCCTCGCCAAAAACAAGCGGGCGAGGGAGGCGGACGGAGCAACGGGGGCAGGCGCTGGGCGCTCCGGCAGGGCGGCGGAAGGGCGGGTGGCGAGGCAGCGCGAAAGTTGGTCGGCCGGGGGCGACCGAGGCCGCGCCCAGAATGACGGCGGGCGGAGGGCAGCAGGGCGGAGGGCCGCGCCAGAGGGGCGACCGAGGCTACGCCGAGAGGCACGCCCACGCGCGCGCGCGCACGCGCGCGCGCACGCGCGCACGCACA